GTGTGTCATGTTGCACGCATCCATAAATTCTGACAGAGCGGTCGCACTTCTCTGAACAGAACTGACGGAAGAAAAGCTCGTCTCTTTTCACGGCTCGAGAGATGACGACGCCTCGCTGGGAAACATTCCTCGTAATTTATGGAGTACGCTTCCAAAGCTACAGGCGCTATATGTTCACGCTCTCACACTGTGTCTCTGTTGATGACCAACACTGCGGTCTCTGCAGAGGTCAAAGGGCTAATTTGCTGTCATAGCCACAGACACAGAGCACAAAGACATTTATGAGATGGTGTTTTGTTCTGCAGGCTCTGATCAATGGAAGCTATAAGGTTTGATACTTAGAACATTTTTGTTTGAGTACATTTCTTTGTGATGGCTAATGATAGATAGATAGATAGATAGATAGATAGATATATAGATAGTTTTTAACATTTATTAAAAACAAAAATTACAGTTTGTCATTGAAAAACTGTATGTACAGTAAGGGTTATTTTCTCACCATAGGCATCAAAAAGATCGTACAGTACCTAACATATACTGTAAGTTTAGTATTTCTTGTGCACAATGCCATATTGATGTACTAGAAGAACGGGGAGGATATATTACATCTTGCAGATATTATCTCTGAATAGATCAATCTGCTTCCTGTACAACGACATTCCAGGACGAGCAGATAGATGACATGATATGAACATGCTCTCAATTGGCCCAAATGTCATGAACCTGTTCAGTTGTACCAGCCGTAACTGAACTGAACAGGTTAAAACGAGGCAGCGTCGGAGAATCTGAAGGCTGGTTTAACATTTATGAGCAGGATTTTTATAAGACTCCCCGTCCTCTCATTATGACTGGCTTTGCCTTGAGAGTCGCTGCACTAAATCAGCTGTCAGGCCGTCCTCCAGGGCAAACCAGCTGAGGTGGGTTTCTTCACTTTGCATGTGTTAGTCTATTGATGGCAGTGTGCCGGGGCCTTTACCGCTGACTTCACAGTATTGTATTTCTGCGCACAATTCAATTACCGGCTCTGGCTACAGTAGCCACGAGGGGAAGGGTTATTTAGGGTGACTGGCTTGACTGGTGTTTCATGGGACCTTATTGATTTGGACCTAATTGTTGTCTAATTGTGAGAAGAGGAAGTCTAAATATGGTCATTACTGAACATTTTAACCAGGGCTGTCGAAATGAATGACTTGTATGCTTATTAATTTGCGAAATGATCAGATTAAATGTAAAAGTATTTTAACATAGTTTAACTCATGGGTATAATTGCGCACATAATATATTGTTGCTCTTGTCGATACGCTTGATGTTACTTGCAGACACTGTGGTAAAAAAA